GGAGAAGCTGGCTCCAGCGAGTCTGGCACTCCGTATCATTAGAAATATTTAAAGCCACTCTTTGGAGCCACGCAGATGGCAATGAACTTATCTGAAACTGCGTTAACTCTGTCGAGGCAGCTGGTGTCTTGAACGCTGCGAGCTCAGACAGTTATGGCAAAAGGGCCATTGCTTTCGTGATGTTTCCCTTTTCAAATATCAAGCTTTGAGGTTGGCATTTAAAAAGAGAGAGCCTGGGATGTTGCTTCTTTAAATTATATGATTTGGGGATCAATGAGGGTGAACAACAAATGAATCATTTCAGGAACAGTTCAAAAACAAATAAAAAAGAAATCACAAACTGATTTGGGAATGTGGATCAATGAAACATGAGAAATTGAAAGAAACCAAAGATAACAGGTTTGCACATCCCTAGGTCTGAGTTATATGAAGGAGTGCAGGCCCGGCAACACATTAATATCACCCCTCTTTGTTTGCTCTGCAGCCTGATCAGCAGAACTGCTGAGGAGAAGGCCTTTTTTGTGGTGGCCCCATGACTATGGAATTCATTGTCTACTGACCTCTGGAAAGCTACCACATACCAGCCCTTTAGAAGATCCTTATAGACATATTTATTGTTTCAGGTGATCTGTGCATGAAGAATATTTCCTTCTTTGTATTTCTTTTAGCTAATGATTCAGGGCTGGGTGTGAGCTTTTCAGTATTGTTGCTTTATTAATGCTGTTGATGTTGTAGAGAAACTGTTCTGTTTTGTATGTTTATTCCATTAATTTTATTCTATTTTTCATTTTACCATTGTTGAAGCTGTAATTTTATATTGTTATTATGCAAGCCACCATGACAGAGTTGTCTACTGAAAGGCTGTATACACACACACACACACACACACACACGTAAATAAGTAACTAAATCGGTGTACATATAAATGTAAGCTTAATGGCACAGGTAATCTGACCTGCAACTCTGCTCACCCATACTGTGGCTGGTCTGAAACAGGAATGGGGAAATTGTATACATGGACTGCCAGATGTTGTTGGACAGGCTGAAGCTGATGGAGACCCACAACATGCGTAGGGCCACAGGTTCCTCATCTGCAACCCAAAAAGGGAGGGGATGGAGAGAGATGATTGCCTGGATCTGATGCTTTTCTAGGCTGCAGTCCTTTGCACCCTTCCCTGGAGTAAGTCCCACTAAATTTAGTTGCACTTAGTTCTACTAAGTAGACATGAATAGAATTCCACTATTACTTAGACATTTCTATCCCACTTTTTATATATATAAATTCATATTAGCTTACAAAACAGACTTCAAAAACAATTAATTACAGTAATAGGCAATTCAAACATCATGAAAACAAAAGGGTTGTGCAATACGAACAGGTTAAGACAAGGAAACCAGGAAATAAATTAGCTTTTTATATACCTATCTCAAGGCATTCTGTGCCTCTTTATTGACTCAGGCGATTCAGTCTCACACCTATGACTACTGCCTTCAGTTAAGCTCCCCGAACAAACCATACACAAAGCCTCCTTCTCTCTCTCTCTCTCTCTCTCTCTCTCTCACACACACACACACACACACAAACACACCACACCTTTCCTAAACTTGCTAATATTCTAAGAAATAACTACTAAGAAATGAATCACAGGATGACCCAGATATGCAGTGATCTCAAATCTACTGCTGGGTTCATATATATTGATGTTTGCAGCCTCTCTCATGGGCAACAACAGCCCAGAGACTTGAACGCATAGCCACAGTTACTTGCACTCCCCAAACCACACCCTGGAAACAACAGCTCTGCCATCAACATGGATCTCATCATGGCATCTCCTGTCATTCAACCCAATTTGTGTTCCTTCCTCTGAACATATAAAGTCTTTGCAGAACTTTGCTGTTAGAGGAATTGGACATTGAGGAAGGGGTTAATTTCCTTCATGATCACAAACCATCTGTGTATGAGATGGGCTAATGTGGAACTTATTTCTAAGTTAAACAAGCATGGGCTACAATCCTAAGCATGCTTACTGGTGGGGTAAGCCCCTCTGAACTCAACGGGACTCACTTCTTGAGTAAGTATGCTTAGATCCATACTGTACATCAGCTTGGGTAGTTGGGAGCCAAACTTGTGTGGTTGTGGGTCTGTTCTTTGTTTGTATTTTACACTTGGAGGCTATTGTCACACTTTTTCTTATAGAATGTTTTTTATTTCAGTATGATTTCTGTTGGAAAGGCCCTTTTTTTTTTTAAATGCACACCACATCTAAACGACTATAATACAAACCCAGCTGTCCTTGTTACTTGCGTTAATATAGTTCCATTTTATATGGTGATGGGCTTTGCCTAAGGGCTGGGCTGCATGGCTCCGAATTCCCTGTTTGTCAGCATTTTGCAAATACGACATTTTCCAGGGCAGAGTGTAAGGAATTTCATAAATTTGCTGAATGGATAAAGTAAGTGCGATGCAAAACAGTTCTGGGGACATGACAACAATCTTGCACAGATCTAGTTATGATTGTTATTACAAATAATATTTTATTTCTTGGACACTGCCTATGTGCAAAGGGCCAGGCGCTCTTTTTCAGCTTCATTCTGCATGTGGAACGAAAGGGCTCCTATTTCTATCTCTTCAAACCCTTGATTCAATAAGTGACCACCATCCTTATAGCAGCATCAAAGCCTATCCTGCATGCATGTATTGCGGGCAGCTCAGGGGTGGGCCAGCCTATTTTACCACCTGAGGCAAAATGGGTAAGTGCTGACCTGTGTCCCTGCTAAAGCCCCACTTACCTAGCTTGTGTGGTGGTGACTTCAGGGTTCCAGCATGATCTTGCAAGAGTTCCATGAGAACCTGCAAGATCCCCCCAAAATTTCACAAGATTCCGTGTGGCTATTGTGCTATCCCACCACAACCCAGAAGCTGCTACCTCTTTGCCTTGCTTCTCCAGTGGCTGTGACCCCCTGGATTCTGCTGCCTGAGGCAGCTGCCTCAGTCTACCTCATGAGTGGACCAGCTCCTCTGCTACCAGTACCTCATTTCAAACCTAACAAGTATCCAGCCTGAGGCCTGTGGTTTCTACAAGACTACTTCCTCTGTAAGCTTGGGGAAAGAGACAGCAGGGGAGGCACACAATGGGAGGCTAAAAACAGGGCCATTCCAAATCATACCTGAACTTCAGAGAATTCTGGACTCAAGTAGAGAGGGGTACGGGGGTCCCAACCATCCACCTAAACCCCCAGCACCATCACTGCTAGTGTCACTTCTATGGATGACAAGAAGGCCTCCAACTAGCAAAGGAAAAATGAATTTGTTTTGACCTAAGACTTGGCTAGAGGGATGGGGAAGCAAGCTGCAAAAGCCATATATGTTTTTATTTTATTTTATTTTTTTAAAAAAAATAATTCTTTGTTCTTCTACCATAGAAAAATTAAAAAGAAAAGTAAAACCCTTAGCTCTTGCAAAACTTGGTCAGAATTCACAACCTGAATGAAGTCATTGAGAAACAGATGCCAGGCCTAGTTTTCCATCTCCAATATTCTGATGCTTCAACACCATTTTTAAGGAATACTTGACCTCAACCTATCAGGGATCACATATTGAAAGTCATGATGCCACAGTGCCACATAGACAATTAAATTAAAACTAATTATTTGTCCTTATATTACATGGGGGTGGGGGAGGTTGAGACAACTATGCAGCCTTTGCAATAGCAGCATTGCCTGAGTTGCTCTGCTGTACCTGGGGTACACCATGACAGCTTTCTTGCAGTGCAGTGTGGGAAAAGAGGGTCCGCTGACCTTGGCAGTAGGATATGCTGCATTATAATGAAAAAGTTTGTGGCCTTCAGAGCTCTGCCCCTTCTGAGATATTCTCTCCAAAAAGAAGTCTCTTTCTGGAGGCATGAAAATGTTCATAAAAGTGAGCTTCCCTCACTTCTTGTCCACATTAGCAGATACTACAAAGTATCTCATTAGCAAATGCTTTTTTGCTGGTCTCTAACTGAACTAGAGAAAGCAAAGAAGACTCAGGCTGCTGCAATTCAATGCACATTTCATCTGGTTTTGTTTTGTTAAAGTCCAATGAAAGTGGTCATTAACTTGCCCAGATAGTAGAGAATAATTCAGAGTTTTGGGGCAGCCTTCTCTCTTATCTCCCTTCAGTTTCAGCTAGATGCTTAGTAAGAAAAGCATTGTGAATTCTTATTTTTCCCTTTTTAATAGGTGTAGTTCTTATGCATTCCTTCCTTACTCTGATGAAAACTTCTGTGGAGCATTTCATGTTAATTCATCTGGATCTTCACAGCTCTGTAGGTGATCTGGGCAGATTTTACATGTGCATTTATGACACTGGAAGTCCAGAATCTTTGTTACACTTCAGTCTTGCCATTGTGCATTCAAGTACACATATGAATAACGTATTTCTAGTAAACCACTTTCATTTCAAGCCTATTGCACATTTATCCAGAAGTGAGTTCAATAATGTATACTCAGGGAAGCATACAAAGATAAACTTGCCAAAAGAGGCTGTACCACATATTCACTTTCTTTTCTTTTCTTAAATAACCACAGTTTAATTAAAAAGAACAGCAGTCATACAAGGTCTTAAAAATGTGAACAACATCACACACAGTTTTGCCCCTCTGATATAGATGGGCTGGCAAAGCAACCCTTATAGACACTTGGTCCTCTTCTATGTCTGAGGCGTAGATCAAAAACCATTCCAGTCCAGCCCTGTCCCTTGCTTGTTGCAGAGAAGTTCTGAGCAGAGAACAGGTGTTCTCTCTCCTGGGCATAGCAGCTTTGTCAGCATCTGAAAGCTGTTATCACATGTCCCATCACCACCCCACCCTTCATAATCTCTCCTCTAGGCTAAAGATGCCTAATTCCTCCAGTATCTCCTCATATGTTTTGCATTCTAACGTGACTGCAATGTGTTATGTTGTACGGAGTCCAGCTCAATGGAGTCACTTGGAAGAAGACAGGGAATACAATGTGTGAGGGTGACGGTGGTCTTGAAAAGGCAGTCCTTCCCTTTAATGAAATGCACACAATGTTCTCAGTCTCTGAAGCATTTGCTGGATGAAATGTAATCCGGAACTCATTTGGGATGTGGTTATGTCATCTCAGAACATGCGGAAATTGCAGCGTGATGCGTCGGGGAATAGTGGTGCTGCGTTAAAAGACGAGGGGGTGCCAGGTGAACTGGGAGCCAAATTCAGCGGCTGAAACTCCATGCAGCTCTAACCAATTGTGGCACACGCCTTCTGCTGCCCTTCCTTATATAAAGAGACACGCATCCCACCCAATTTGCCGGTTCCATGTTAACCTGTCGAGACTGAACCACATGGTCAAAAATCAGCACATAGCAAATGCATTGCATGCTCCTCTGGTGGTGTGGCTGTATGGGCAGTCTGTCATTATACAATGAGATCCTTCTTTCTTTCTTTTTTTACTCATCACACAGGGTGATAAGTGGTAAAGAAAAATAAGGTTCTGGTAACTTTAAAAGTTGTATATTAGGAGTGGGTGAGGGAGTTTGGGTATCAGTTTTTCCCAGCATGACAAGTTATATCAGCCAAATTCCCCTCATTTGCAGTAGAGATATGGCTGCCCCATGTTTACTAAGGAAGAGAAATGTTTATTATGACGAACACATTTTGAGTAATGACTCTTTGGGCCCTTCCGATTGACCTATTTACTGAACATTCATACTGATGTGTTTGCACAAAGCTTTTTGGTACTTAGCCTATGTCCGGTCTTTCCTGAGGATTTGTTCCGATTTGTTTACAGGGTGGTTATTTGAAAATGAGCATTCACTCCGCATTCATCCTGACTGACTTGTGAAATGTTTATATATCTTTCTGTTACTCATTTGTTCTTTCTACGCTCTTTAATGTATTTCCCTGTCACTTTCCAAACCGCAAAAAGTCTGGTTCTTTTAAAAGTGGATTTGTTGTGCAAAGGCAACAGAACACTTGAATCCACTATCAAATGTGGACGCCTAAGGTTCTGGTAAGTGTATGAATCCCACCTGCAAAATAGTGAGAATTTGGAGGTGCCTGTGACAGGTACCCCCACTGAAGATAGGTGACATGTGATGTGACCAATATCATGAGTGTGCTACTAGATAAATATCTACTTAGTATTGCACAGAAGAGGGTCTAGCATTAACTGTGTGTTGGTAGTGTTTAACAGCAGCAAGGTATTCCATTTCTGTGAGGGCTGCCCAGTGCCCATTCACTCTCCACCCAGAGATTCAAAGTATGTGGTGGCACTTCTGGAACAAAACTGTATATTTATTTAATTACACTCTATGAGGGCTTAATGCTTGAAGGACGGCCTGCACTGCAAATGTGCTGGGCCTAATAAACAACAGTTCACCATGGAGACTTCCTCTGCGGTTGATTTCATATTTATGTCCTCCTTCCTCCTCTGCTTTACCTTCTCTTTTGCATCTGGCCACCATACACTTACAGTAACTATGTGGAAAGGCATTTTGTGCGAAGGTGCCTCCACCCCCGCACCGTTAATGCTAACTAAAGCAGCAAAAGAAAGCTGGCCAATTTTGCTGGTATGACTAAAATTGCCAAATTACTTGGGAAGGTAAGTGGTGCTCCTCCTTCGTGCTGTTGATGAGCCGATACAGTTTGTGCCCTTGGTAGCCAATCACATTGCCCACATAATGTTGCACTCCGCCCCAATTTCCCAGTAATGTGAGAGTCTAGGGTTCAGAATGAGGGACAACAGAGACTGTGGTGTCTTCAGGCTATATGGCTTATTTACACATATATACAACTTGAGCCTACACCCACACCCACAGCCTTGGCTACCAGCATAAATCATGCATGGCTCTGACTCTCCCAGGCTCCCTGCCAGCTTCTAACTCACACACAAAACTCTCAACTCTGGCCTTTATCTTTCTAACTACCAGTGAGTTGAGAGAGGGGAGCCCACCCATTTGTCATATGGAACAAAACCACTTCCTTTGTTGCCTTAATGGCCCATACATTGAGGGCCATTATCTCACCAGGAAGCTAGTCTGGCTATTCCAAGAATTGAATAAAGTCACAATTGCAGGGTTTTCCTTTGTAGGAACAACCTAGGAAGCTGCCATGTACTAAGTCAGATCAGTAAATCATCTAGGTCAGTGTTTTCTATGCTGACTGGCAACAGCTCTCCAGAGCTGCAGGTAGGGTACATTCCCATTCCTACCTGGCAATGCCAGGAGTTAAACATGTGGCCTTTGCATGCAAAGCAGATGCCCTACTACACAGCTACATCCCTTCCTCTACTGAAATATACAATATTCCCCCATCTACCAACATTTATAAAGTCTTGTACATTTGTCCAAGACAGGGCATTTTTCAGTGGGAACTCACCGGACCTCATTTCTGGCACCTCTCAGGTGGGTGCCATTACCATTCTAAGATAATAAGGGTGGTATTCATGGTGAGTTCCGGAACCTCTTTTTCTACATAAATAGCACTGGTTCAAGGAATGGCAGCAACTTATTGCATCCCAGAACTCAGCTTTAAAAAGCAATGGGCTCATCCCGGGTTGTGAAATTCTCTCTTTCTGTAGGGCTCTGCAGCGTAGTTGGAAAAAGACCAATGACAGCTTAGCCAAAGCTCTAGGCTTTGATGTGTGCTCAGAGTCTTGGAATTTAAGAGGCAATTGTGTGTTTAATGCCCCACTGTTCCTCAGCTTGGCATGGGGTTCCTCCTGCATTGCTTTTCAGTTCAATTACTTCTACCTTTCTCAAATATGAAATGAAGCAACAAAAAGATTTTTAGGAGCTGGCTTGGCTCTTTCCAAAGGCAGGGCCCTGTTGGCGCTGGGCTTACAGCTGAAGGTGCTGACAAGCTCACAGTTATGTAGGAGTTCAACTAGTGCCCTGTTCTGTTTGTTACAGTGTGTTCTAATACAGCCCCCGTCCTTTTCACCATCGCAGAAGGGCGGGGGAGAAAGTAAGAGGAAATATTTTTATAGAGGAATAAACCCCTCAGGTAGGAGAAAAGGACAAGAGACTTTCTCAGAGAAGCAGCAAGGCAAGTCAGGGAGGAGCAAACCATCTCACAAATGACCAAATTCAGCATGGTGAGACACTCAAAATGGAGACATCGGCTTCTGGTCGTGCTGTAGGTCCATGCAAGCCTTTGAGTTACACATGGCTCTTAAGCATGCAGAAGGGGAAGGTGGATCAACCACAGCTACAGGACGTCTGTACACAGCATCAAAAGTGGGCCAAATTCTGCACCCAGAGTGGTAGCAGAGGGAAGACTCTAGATAATATCAATTTGCATTCATGTTTAAATTTCTGCATATTCTATCCTGCTTTCCTAAAGCTGGGGCTTTAAAGGAAGATAGAATTAATTTGGACGGAAATGTCTGATGCAGCTGGAAGACTGGGAGAGAAGGGAATGAAGTTTGGTTAAGAGGCCAGTGGAGAGGCAGGTGTGTGCTGCATCTGATGGTGTAAGAGTGGGTCTGCAGGCCCAATGTACTCCCACAGCTCATTTGCAAAACAGCATACAAGACAAGGTTAGCCACAAACCATATCTGCCCTGTGCATGTCTTGCTATTTCTTATGAAATACTCCTGTTTCATACCCCTCAACTGTCCCAGCACTGGGGGGCAGAGAGCAGACGGGGGCGGGGCAGGAATCCTGGGGGCGGGGCACCCAGCACGGGCAGGGGGGCAGCCACGATGGCACCCCACTGGGATCGTGCTGCCGGGGGCGATGCGCTCCCCCCGCACTCCTCTTCCTCTGCCAGTGCCCATCTTTAGTGGGACATCCCAGAATTACAGAAGCCATTCTGAATTCTGATTGGATCCTGAAACGTAGTGTTTTTTGGTCCAGTGCTCTGGCTCGAGCCAGCTAGCTTGCACTGGAGCACCAGAACAAAAGACGCTTAGTTTTTGGTCTTGCACTCATGCACAAATCAGCTGGCTCCTGTGAAAGCTCCGGACTAAAAAATGAGCATCCTGATTTTGATCAGCAGGATGTTGGAGGGTATGCCATCCACCCCCCCATCAGCTTCAATTCAGACTGAGAGAAAGAATGGCTTAGCTGTGTTTTTAAGCAGCAAAACGTGCCCACAGCCTGGAAGTGTGCTTCCAGATAGAGGCTTAATATTGCAAATGAGACATTCAGGTGTTGCGAAATCGTCATTCACAACAGTTTGTTTGTTTTTTTAATTTAGCAAAATTTCCCCAGAGAGGGTAAATCTGAAATAAATTGAGAAGGGGGTATATCACCTGGCATTTTAATGCCAGTGGTGTTTTCAGGATGCTGTAAAAAAATATTGCATGCATGAGGATAATCAATTCCATAGTATTAAAAACAAACAAAACACCTTTCTAGAGGCAGAGAGAGAGAATAGCAGCCTTGAGAGTGGGAGAGTGGGCTGTTCACAACTCTGAAATCACTGTTTTCTAGAAGCTCTGCTTGGCACCACCCTCATTTCTTACCTTTCCTAGACACTGTTCCTGCTTCCATGCCATCTTGCTCCCTGCTACGTCCCAGAAGTTGTATTTCTCAAACTTTTGATCAAGTTCTTGATATGTTTATTTTAGTTTATTAAAACTGGAGGGGGCCCACTTCACTCCCACACTAAAAGAGTTACGTATGTTGAACAGATTCTTGGAACAGTAGTTATGAATTGATACTATTCTTTTTCTTTAAATAAAATAAAATAAAATCATCTGCTAGATTTCTGGGCCAGCGTTTCATTGAGCTTTTTGACTGACTGATTGATTGAGAAAAAGTATTTATACACTGCCATAAAATATTGTGGTGGTGTGCAATGATAAAACCTAAAACACAGTTGAAAACAGTTGAAAATAATCATTAAAGTGACTGGCTAATCAGGAGTGTTTTGAACAACTGCACAGGCCTGTCAGCATATACAAAGTCTTCAAGAGACACCTGGAAGTCAAAAGCAAAGGTGGGAAGGGGATCGCTGTATTACCCATCAAACACAGTCAATCTGGGAGAATAACAGGGTCAATAGTATCAAAGGCCATTGAAAGATCCCATATGAGTAACATGGTCACACTTCATAAGATCATCATCAGGGCAATCAGTTCCTTCACTGCAGTAGGTTGGACTAGATGACCCCTGGAATCCCTTCCAACCCTACAATTCTATGATTCTATGATTCTAAGACTAATTCCATTCTGAAGCCAGTCCTAAATCCAGACTGAAGTGAATTTAGATAATTTGTGTCATTAAGGAACTCTTAAAGATGCTCTACCTTTTTGCCACAGTGTGTGCGCGTGTGTGTGTTGGCATACATTGAAACTGGAAGATCAGTCCACTGCTGAGGTTCTCTAAGACTGCAATTCTATTCATAAGGGTAAGCCCCATTGGACTCAGTGAGACATTCTTCTCAATAGACATGCATATAACTGTACTCAAAGACTCTGATCCAGAGCACACTTAACTGGTGAGTAAACTCAATTGAACATAGAGGGACTTACTTCCTAGTAAACATATGTTTAATAGTCAATGCATTTCTTTTTGATTAAATAAATCTTTTTGATTAACTATACCACTGCACTCCTAGCTGCAAAGCACCACTCTCAAACATAAGGGCATGTCTCCCTAATGCCCAGGTCCTTAGTCATCACCAACTGGCAGTCTTGAAGGCATGGGCTAGATAACTATTAACATCCCAGGAGCCTAAATAAAGAAGAGCCATGTGCGATTTTGCTTTAGGTGTGTTCCTTTGGTTGGTTCAGAAATGCAGTTTTCTGGATGGTGCTCTCTTCCTTACTCCTTTACTGCTCACTTTTGATCCAGGTCTTTCCCATTCTTCCTGTTTGTCATTTCTCCCCATTCACTTGTATATATTCATCCATCCAGAAGTCAACTCTCTAGATTCCTCAGCAAGTGCAAAGCACCAGACATGTACATTATTATCTTGCATAAAGCTGCAGATGTTTCACATCTGCCTCCACACTTGTTATCCTGCCAAATTGCCGAGTCTTCATGGCAGGTTTACAGTAAAGAAAGATTGTAGCTGTAAACAGTTTTATGACAGGTTGACGTTACAGGCTTATGGCTTCTTGCCTAAACTTTTGAAGGCTCTATGACTCCACAAAGCTGGGCCACTGCTAACCCCATAAGCCCAGTACAGAAGGGGAGGGAGTGATGTTGAACCTACCATATGACCACACAGGTCCTTCGCTTGCTGGAGACCTGCATGTTTAAGTGACGTTTACCAACAGATTCTGGAATTTCTAGATTTCCAGTTAACAAAACTCCTTGTGGATGCAATGGTGACACATTTCCATGATGCACTGTTATGGCCAAAGGGATTGAAACTTCAAATGTGGGACACACTGATTTCAGCTTGTGGTGGGAAAGTTTCCAGAACTGATGGGGTTATACACCTTGAAAGTGTGGAAATTAGACTCTAGTTCCCATTTACAGAGCTATGCAAAATGAAGAGACCGGGTCATTTAACCCTTTAATTAGTTCCCTTTTGCCTCCTATAAAAAATATGCAAGACACTCTCTTTTAAAGTTTAAATAACAAATAACAAATTACTCAGTGTACTTGCACTTGTTAGATTAAACATACAAGACAGCAAGGTGTTACTTATGTTACGAATACATATTACATAGAGTTGTATCCAGTGCTGTTTTTCTAGAAAAAGAGGTGCTGGAATTCACCATGAACGCCTCCCTTGTTCTCTTCTAATGGCAATGGCACTCACCTGAGAGGTGCCAGAACTGAGTTCTGGTGAGTTCCAGATGGGAAAAAAGGCCTGATTATATCTAAGACAAAAACTGTTACAGACCAACCAACTCTGAGGCAGGCAGCAGCACAACAGAACAGACGTACTGCTCAGCCGCTCTAACACAAAAGACTGTTAATACCTGCTCTGACTGTACCAACGGACATAACTGCCTCTGGCAGGAGGTGTATGACATCATTGTGAGCATTAACCCTTTGATTAGTATTTTGGATGCTTTCATCCCATAAAGGAGGTGTCAACTTGGCCCTATCCCAAGCTTTTCTCCAGTGAGAGCTCACTAGAACTCAGTTCCGGCACCTCTCAGATGGGCACCATTGCCATTCTAATAGCACTGGCCCTATCCATAAATTATTATCCACATACAGGGCTAATGTGCAGGACCATACCCTTTTGGCCATGCATGCAGTAATGTGACCAACCCTGTCATCCACATTGTGGACATGGATGCCTCCAATGGGCAACCATACGTTTTTATTGTACACATTTCTTTTGCCTAAAGTCTCACTTTCACTGGCTCCTGGAAAGATCATCCTTCCTTATAAAACTTGATGGACAGATGTTTATGCAGCTGGATTGATACAAGTATGCAGTAAGGAATGCTTATCAGATTGTGCTGACACCAAGAGAGATTTCAGTCCATGCTGTGATAGAAACACCACTTCAGCAGGTTGACCACAAGCATTCAAAAGATGGCTTTTGTTATACCACTTTCCTTGCATCGTCCTTTTCTATACTTAATTTTGTCCAGTCAGTGGGCAGGGTGGAGGCCAAGATGCATATGAATCAACTCAAAACTGATCCCTCCCCCAAATATATTTGTCATTATATGAGGAATATAGGCAAATGAATAATGGACACTGAGTACACTCTGGCCTCAATTCACTGTCTGGAGATTTACTCTCCCTTTAGGATTTCCTCCCCCTCTCCCACCCCAGGGAGGAGCAGCAACCAGGGGAAAGAAAGGCATAACATCTTACAAGGACAGGAAGAAACATCGCAGACAGAATAATTGCCACACACAGGAAGAACAAGGATATCGTTTGAGTTCTGCACTTGTAGTTTTATAAATCATTTAATGTGTCAACATGAATAGAAGTTATTAATATTGCAGTTGTTGTATAAGGGATTATTATTATGACTGGAATGTAATGGAAAATAGTAAGATTTTGGGACGCAGAAATTAAGCAAATAATCAAGGCATTACATTTCCTTTGCTTCACTTCCTTTATCCATCAGAAGGAAAGAAGTAACAATGTGTGAGGTGACAAAGCAATTCTGGGCATTGCCCTGGAATATTCACTATTTACAGATGTCTGCACAAACAAGAAGGTTCCAATGACTTGTGACTTTCATAGCATACACCATGCCTTACAGGAGTCCTTCTTATCATGGCTTATCACTTGATGGATCATCACCTTGTTGTGGTGAGTGGGCTTGCATGTTCCTATGTCCCTTGTAAGCAAAGCCGTCCAGAATCTTGCACTCCCAGCAGGGTCACCCAAGGCAGTAAGGTCAAAAGGAAGGAGCTAGACAAAGAGTGATCCAAGAAGTCCTCAGTGGCAGAACAAGTGGGTGATAACAAGCAGTATGTTACAACGGCTGTGAAGGCGGATGAAGGCTGCAGCAGATAAGAATCTACCAGTCATCATGACTACTCATCCCATTGGAACAGAGCCTTACTGCAAAGACTGTGTGCTGGTCACCGCACACTGATCTACACACATAAAACAAATTCGCGCACAGGCGTTTTCCAAAAACCCAACCCAAACCCAAACCCCAATACAATCTTACTCGGCTATGAGTGATCGCCAAAGAAGATCATGGCTTAGTCCTCATCCCCATAGCCCAAACTCATGTGATGATATATTCATTTCTCTCTCTCTGTTTCTTCCTCTCACGTTTGAAATATAATTGTGAGCTCCTTTGAGCAGAGGCCTCATGTTTGCTCATGTGACTATTTTTTTAAAAAAATGTTTTTACATAACTAATGAAATAATATATAGTAGAATACAGTTAATGTCATTCAAGTATATTTATGGAGCTATATGTATACCTAAGTGTGACACACACACACACACACACACACACACACACACACTTACTGGTTTTCATTTTCCCAAGTGCAACCAAACTGTTAGGACACTTTGCCTTGGAGGAATCAAAAGTTTGTGAAATTAAGCTTTATAGATTTCATTGCTTTTATTGCACCATGTGGGGTGTACTGTGTCCTTAATGTGGTGAGAGCTGCTTTGTAAATAAATATCATAAATGTTGGGAGAGAGGGAGTTAAGCTTCAAATCACCAAAATGCTGTGAGTTGTTATTTTTAATCCCCAAAGCATTTGAAAATGGTGCGTGTGATTGATTCCACTTGGATCTCAGGCTAACAAATGCATTTCACATTGCCCTTGTCCCAGTCTTACATACCTCCAGGATAGGCAGGTATTGAGGTTGTGAAGAATGAATGAGCAATATTGAGAAGCCAAAGGAGCCCATTGTATGAGCCAGAAGGTTCTTTATTCATTTACCAGTGGCTCATTCAGTAACTCATTGTCAATCCTGGTGTTTCTGCAGTTCTCCTCCTCTCATATCCCATTCTCCTGTAGCTAGACCAGAAACCATCCGGATCCATGCCCATGCCCAGTCCCTTGTATTTTCACTGCATTGCAAAGCAAATAATTGCACAGCAGCTACAGGATTCAAGACTGCACAGCAGCTGCTCAGCGTGTTTCCATGAGACAACGCTGGATTTATACTTCTCTCCCCCCTCCCTTTTACTGGAATTCTTTGTTGTTTGCTGATGATGATGGCTTTCATTTGCTTTTATTAGCTGCAGGTGTTTTCTGTTCTTCAGCTGCAAGCGCTTTCCCTTTTTCCCTGCCAATTCCAACCCCGGTTTGTGCCTTGGTCACCTTTTGGAATATGATGTTGAGAATGATGGAGTTTTTGCGGCTTCAGCAGATGCACTCAACCTGCCTCGCTTTTGCCTCTCCCAGCCCCTCCCCACCAGTTGAAAACATAAGGAACACTTCTGCCTGGGCTTGGAGAGCAATCAAGAGAGAACTAATTCATGGTGGGAAAAGGAGGTGGAGATTAGGGATGGGACTCTGCCCTATGGCTCTCCTTGTTTAGCGCTCATGGTTCTTGTGCCACCATCTAAGTTTATTAATCTGCTTTAGCAGTATGGGCTTGGTCCACAGCAGGTATATTGACTGCAAACTTGACCTTGCTGCTGAATGATCAAAAAATGTCAGGCTTTAGCTCAAAAATATAGTGACTGATTTTGACTCTAATGCAACCCCAGGGCACACTAGAATGGCACAGAGGCAAATGGTGTGCGTTTTTAAATTTTCATTCTATATTGTATATTCTATAATATGATATTGAGTTGCTTTAAGGCTGTTAATATCCCCTCCACAAAATGAATTGTATTGTTTTATTGTCACCCCCACACTATCATCTATCTATCTATCTCTATCTAATGTTATTGATTTGTTAACAATCACAAAAGTGAAAACCAAACAAAAAGAAAGAAAACAAAGAATCAAAATTTTAAAGGACAAAGGTACAGTGCAGATCCAAAGGGATAATAAAGTATTATATTATATCATAAAAATATTTCCTTTACAATTAATAAAGATTTATAAAATTAAAAGTATTCTCCACCCATGAGTTCCATTGTTATAGAGAATAAAGATTCTATACAGCCTTAAATGAGCCAGATATTTGCATATACTGATGGCACCAAGTGACCATGTGCCGCAATATTTGTATATTATTTTTATTCCCTGCCTCTCCAGTCCCCTTCACCTCAACCAGCCACCTCACCAGCAAATCCTTCCTTTGCCTTCTGGACACAGACATCTAAACAAAGAGCTTTCATTGTTCCTCAATTTTGCCTTTTCTTCTTTGATAGGATTACATGGCAAATCAACCCCACCCACTGCCCCTACCCCATCTCCCCTGCTCAGACAAACTGCTTATCTCATTTATTTTCTGTCTTTAACAATGCATGCTGCTGATTGCTGACAGTCACATCAGCAGTGGAGAGATCTGCATTTTAAAAATGCCAGTGTAATGCCAGTGCAAGGCACAGGATTATAAATCATCACCTAAATGTAACAGGCTGAGCACAGACAGTCCCAATACACATTTAATCACATCGTATTGTACAGGAACAGCAGAAACCGTCAGTGAGTCAAGAGGAGTTACAAGCTTAAACCTGGAGGTTGAGAACAGTGACAAGAATTTGGGGGTGAAAAGTTTATCAAACAAATCTATGTCAAAAATTGCTCACAAGTTCTCACATGTGAGACAAGTGACCAGTTTATGCAGAAACGTACAAGGTCCATGGAAGCTCAGTCTTCTACTCACTTTTAATGAACTTTGTTACCATCCCTAGTGGAGATACAGATAAGCACAAAACAATTTCCCCCTTAGATGGGGTGTGTGGGTGTCTTTTTTAGCGAAGTGCCTTGAAAAGGAGACAGGATTGCAACACAGTGGCAGAGAACTTTGCATCCCAAATTCAATCTCCAGTAACCTGAAGTAGGGCTGGAAAAGGCCCCCTTCTGAAAATATGGAGAGCCACTGCTGATCAGTGTAAACCAAGGACATGGAACTGGATGCCTCCCTGTCCCCCACCCAAATCTGTCAAGTGAGCAGAGCCACCCACCCATCAGTCACCTGACATCATAATATCAAGTGAGATCGTTTTTTACATACGGGGTTGAAATCAAACTGTGTAGGCAAATGCACAGCCCACAAAACACCTTTCAAAGCACTCCACAATATCCAATAATCCAGGTGCTTGCCGTTTCTTGCAAAGCACTAGCAAGGGACTTAATAAGTTGACCATTCGGGTCCTGCAAAGTCCATTGCAAAGCAGTCTGTAAGATGTGACAATCAGCCGGTTGCTGAGTGTTGCAAAGCCTTTGGTAGAAAGGTTTGCAAGCACAGATCAGCCGATTGGCAGAGCCTACAAATTCCTTTCTGCTGAGTCAGGTCTTTGCCTGCCCTGTACCTGACATCATATATTATGTCAGGTGTAAAGCAGGTGGGCGTGGCTGAGCTGAAATGGCCTCTCCAGCCAAATGGGGAGGCCTGGTGGGCCTAATTGGGCCAATAGCTCT